CCCTCCCCTGGGGGGGTTCCTTTCGTTGGTGGGCCCCTTTGGATTTTTTTGTTTTTTTGGGAAACGGGGGGGGGGGGGGGGGGGGCGTACTCGTGTTTTGTATGCCTTAGCAGCTAGACCATCGACCATGCGTCCTCGAGAGGACGGAACGCGAGCAGGACAGGGAGAACAATACGATGTAGAAGCACAAAATTAGTCTCTACCTCTGCATGATCGCGATTTTTTCCCTCCCGAACTCCAACAAGAAAACACTTATGAACGTGACGAAGAAGGGAAAAAAGGACAAGGTTCAGGTTCAACTTCGAAAAAAAAAGGGCAAGGATATCAAAATTTTGCGAGCAACCAAGACCAGGAGTAGATACGCAGGTACACCGATGTCATTTGCGCTCTTTTAAAAGACAAACAAACTCTACATCTGTACCGCACGTACGGCCACGAGTGCCACCCTTTTTCCGCCCCCCCCCCGCCTCTCCTTGCCTTGAGCTTATCGCCTGGCCCGACGATGGCGATGGACAGCTGCAGGTAACCCTGGGTGCCTGAATCTTTGGGGTTCTCGTCATCTACCAATGCCACCCACTGACGGTGGATCTCGTGATCCTGCCAAAAAATAAAAAAACAGGCATGATGGATGCAGATGCAAGTATGTAGCGAAAGAGACCGGAGACAACGGCCCGAGCATAAACAACATGTGCATTCTTTGGTTATTTCCTCAATGAGACTTGGAGACGACCGTACTTTTACTTGTCCGCACGGGTCGATGACGAGTCAAGTATGCAAGGCACACACGAGACGACACAAAACACCACTGGCCGACAAAGCAACAACGCGGAGGCAGAATGTCCAAAGTGAAGCGAATGACACACCCAGGACAAAATCAATAGAGACACGATTCTGTGTGTCCACATGTGAACATGCGACTGTTTTGTACGCATGTTGATCCCTGCCATTCACTAGTCGAAACGTGGGCTTCCTGCGCAACAAAAAAATCGAATCGACCCCCCCCGTTCCCTCCCAAGCGGTTCTTATGTCATGATTTTTCCTAGGGGGTTCCGCACCTTGTGGAAGTATACATTCGAGGCGTCGAAGCTGTACGAGCCAATCAGGTCGTTCTTGATCGCCACGGGACCATCGGCGTCCATAACGCTTATTCTTTTCGGTTTGTTTTGGCGCACCACACCGAACGGAACCGAACCAACACGTTTTAGGAAGCAACCAATCACACGCGAGAGGAGGGAAGGAGGGAAGGAGGGAGGGAGGGTAGTGGGGAGAAATGAGTGTCAGAGAAAAATATTCGGGGGTAACAGGTACAGCATTCGAGAGCCGTCCGTCCGTCGTACATATTCCGACGGAGGTCG